CTGCCTCATAGCGCAGGAGTTTGAAAAATGGCAGGGCGTGTTGAGCGGATTTCGTGATGAAACAGGAGAGTGAGGCGAGCATACCATTCATGACTTGTATGGATTTTTTTGAATTAGGTGTAGGGAGGTCGGAGAACACTCGACACTTGTCAGGGTTGGCTTTGATTCCTCGTTCTGTTATGTGAAAACTGAGGAACTTGCCCGCCTTAACCCCGAAGGTGCATTTCTTGGGGTTGAACCTTACTCTACATTGCCTTGCTTGGGCAAAGACTTTTCTGAGATGAGCAACATGGTCAGTGTCTACTCGAGATTTGACGATCATGTCGTCCATGTATACCTCAAGCATATCTCTGATCTCGTTGCGGAAGACTTTGTTCATCATCCGCTGGTATGTTGCTCCTGCATTTTTCAGACCGAAGGGCATTACGTTGTAGTAATAATTGCCTGAGCTGGTCATGAAGGCAGTGCAGTGTTTGTCGCTCATTGCCATTGGGATTTGGTTATAGACCAAACAGGCGTCCATGAAAGATAAAATTTTATAGTCGACCGAGTTTTCGACCATCATATCAATATTAGGCAAATGGAATGCATCTTTGGGGTATGCCCGATTAAGATCGGTATAGTCAACACACATACACCATTTTCCATTATTCTTTTTAACGAGTACAACATTTGACAGCCATGTTGAACACCGAGCTTCAAAAATAAAATTTGCCTCTAGGAGGTCTTTTACAGCTTTTTCAGCAGCCTCCGTTTTCTCGGGGGACTGCCTACGCCTATGTTGTACTACTGTCCTAGTGGCTGGATCAATGGCGAGTTAATGACAGGAAACCTCAGGGTCGAGACCGGGCATCTCCCCATCTCTCTACACGATCAGATTTGCATTCTCCTTCAAGCAGGACTTGATTTGCTTCCTCGCCAGGTTGGGGATCCAGTGCCGATCTTCACCCCTTTGTTCAGGTATTCACCTAGAGGGACGAGCTCGAAGTTCCCATCCAGAATTGGTCAGAGGGGCCCCTGCTCGCCATTGGGTGCTTCGTCTTGGTCGAAGTGGGTGTCCAACGAGATTGAGTCGACCTTTGGAGGAGCCCTCTGCACTTCTTCCCTGATGGGCTATGGCTCTGACTGCTGTAGCTTTGGTCGCGCTGTTGTAGCTCTCTTGGCGGGCCGTGCCCTAGTGTCGATCGTGCTTTGTCCCTTGGCCGCTGCATTGAAGCATCTTCAGGCAGCTTCTAGGTCGCCCTGGATGGTGGCGACGCATGCCCTTTTTGTGTAGAACTTCATCTTTAAATGGACGGTGGAGGGCACCGCGGTCAGCTCTGCCAGTGTCGGTCTCCCAAGGATGCAGTTGTAGAAGGACGGGCAGTCGATGACCAGGAAGCGCACCTTGACTTGCCTGGTGGCGGTATCTTCGCCGAATGTGACCATGAGCTCTATGTACCCTCATGGCTTGGAGGTCGAGCCATTCAAGTCATGCAGGTCAGACCCCACGTATGGTGAAAGGTGAGAGTCGTCGAGCTGTAGGGTTCTAAAAAGCTGGCTATACATCACGTCAACGGAACTTCCTTCGTTGACCAGGACGCGATGAACATCAAAGTTAGCCATCTCGCCCTGATCAGAAGAGGGATGGCTAAATTGGGGGGCCCTCAGAGAAACTCCTCAAGGTAAAAGGTGATTGGCTCTAATCTGCCCTTTTTGAAAGTCACCGTTTGCGGGGGGGGGGGGGGGGGGGGGGGGTCGACCAGCTCATCCAACTTCCTCTTTGCTGAATTTATAATTATGTCATTAAACCCTCCACAATTTATGACCATGACGGAGGGGAAGCTTTCTCACTTGCTGTGCATGGACAGAGGCTCTTCCATATGTTCGGGGACATAGAAGTCCTCCGGTCTCGTAACGTGGAATACGGTCTGGATGGGAACTGACTCGTCAGATGGTCGGCCATCCTCCTCTATCTCTCTTATTTCGCAGGCATCTCAACGGGGCGCCTCACCACGCCGATATTGCCCGAGTCTCCCCCCTTTTATGAGGGTCTCAATAATATCCTTGAGATGGACACAATATTTAGTCAAGTGTCCATGGCTTCGATGATGTTGACAGTATTTGCTCCAATCTGCCTCGGGCTTAGCAGGAGCGGGGCGAGGACGCTTGACGCTGCTATCCTTGAAATCCGTATTCGTACACTTCGCCAAAATGTGCTCGCGGGAAGTCGTTAGCGGAGTGTGCTCAGTAAACCTCCCCGAGGGTCATCTTTGCCCACGAGGATCTCGGGGTTTGTCATCCCTCCTCTTCTCTCTAGTTTGTCGAGGAGGGCCGGAGTCTTGTTGTCACAGATTGCTGGTTGATCCACGATTCCTGGGGTCCCGGGCACTATTGGCCGCTTCCCTCTCCTCGTAGTTCATGTATGTTATGGCTTTCTCGAGGAGGGCAGCGAATGTCTGGGGTGGTTCGATGCCAACGACCTTTCTGAATTTTATGCCCGGGAGGAGTCCCCTCTCGAGCAGGTATCTCTTCATGTGATCGGTGCAGGGGACCTGAATGGTCTCCCAGTTGAACCGATTAATAAATTCCCTCAGGTTCTCGTCGTGTCTTTGGACGATAACCTCGATGGCTGCTTCAGTCTTCGGGTGCCGACATGAAGCAGTAAATGAACTGATGAATTGGTTCTTTAAATTTCGCCAGGAGGTGATTAACCCTGAGGCGAGACTCTTGTACCAGTCCATTGCAGCTTTCCTCAAAGTCATAGGGAACAACCGACATTTGATTGGTCCCCTAACATTGTGATAATGCATCATTGCCTCGAACCCGTCTATGTGGTCGATCGGGTCGGAAATGTCGTCGTGCTTTTTCAGATGGGGAGGCTTCTCCATGCCCGGGGGGATGGGTGCCTCTATGATGGCTTGTGACAAGGGACCGTGGGGGTCGTCTTCGTCACTCCTATCTGGCAAGCGAGAAGGAGATCTGTTGTAGTGTTCCTCGGGCGATACAGTCGTTCGTTATTTCCCCTGCTTCTGTCTCTAGGGGGTCTTTGCTCTTGACGCAAGGGGATGCGATAGCATCTCCCCGTGTCAACGGGCTGGTCCCTCTCCAATATGGGGCGTCGCCCAATTGGTCGGGGAAAGGGACTTCGAGAGGCATCCCGCCTACGTCTCCGCGGGGGAGATTGGGGATGTTCCTCTTCTTTGCGAGGAGGGGGAGACTAGGGCCTCCTATGTCTTATGGGGGCTCTCCGAGCATCTTCGAGTGCCCTCAATCTCTCTCCTTGAGATAAGATCAGATAATTTGTTTGGTTTATCGCTACGAATAGTGCCCTGGTCGTGGCGTCTGCTCCGGCGGGAACAGGGACCTCCTGAAACTGGTTGGGTTGGCAGTTCTGAGGAGGTGGCCGATCGTCTTCAAGTCGTCGAGATAGTGATGATGACGAGGCTGTTTCTCCGTCTCTATATTCTGAAGGACCGAGCATATTAGCAGTGGGGCCGTGTTGTGGTCAATAGTACCAGCGTTGTCGATGCCTGTATTATTGTCGGCGATATTGTTGTTGACGTTGGCGATGCGGATGTTCATGTTGTTTTCTGCTGTTTGATTTAGCTTTAGTCTTGAGTAAACAGAAGACGGGGAAGCAAGATTCCCACAGACGGTGCCACTGATCGTACTTGATCAAAATGGACCGTCACAGCTAGCTCGAGCAGAAGTTGAGTGAGGTGGGGGATACCTGCAAGACACTCTGATGCCAAAGTAAGTTGCGGAATGAGCAATCAAGTGTGAGAGTAAGAAAGTGTTGAATACCTGACCCTCTCGAAAGAGAGGGGTATTTATAGCCCCCAGCGCTGGGCCAATGTCTCTTCATTGGGCTGGTCAAGCAAGCCCAATATAGAGACTGCCAGGTCCTACATGAGTAGTGGGGATCCGCACATGGTCCTCTACCTGGATGACGTCCTCTGCAAGGTCAGGAGGATATGGATGCGATCTTTCCGGGGTCATGAAGACTCCGTGACATCCGGAGACGTTGGTAATCAGCCCTACGGGGAGGATGCTTGAGGAGGAGTATCTTCCCGTCGTGGGTGATCCCCGCCATACGCGAGGTCGAGTAAGGGGACCAGCCTTGGTCGACAAGCTAGTCAGGGTGTCCTCGAAGCCTTCATGGTCGGAGGTGACCGTCTTTAATCTACTCGGGGTCTTGTCCCCGTGTGGTGAGGTTGTCTTCTCGCGAGGAAAAGGTGGTAGATGCTCGTCGTATTCGAGGATAGAACTGGTCAGTGGTGCAGGTTGACACACTTGGATTGGACCTTACTAAGAGTTGGGCCAATGGCAGACCCAGTCCAGAATAATTATTTTATAGATTGAGTTTATATGTTGATTATTTCCTATAACATATGTTGTGATTTTTAGTTAAAAATATCTTGTTAGAACCATTTTAATAAATAATTTTTTTAATTATTATATAAAAAGTTTAAGTTTTTTTATTTATTTTTTATTTATATAAAATACTGTAATATTGATAAGGAATTTGTTTAAAGGATTACATTTACAATTTACAATTATAAACTTGGAATATAATAAAATATATTTTTTTCTGAAATATTAATACCAAAAATAGACGAGGCAACAAAGAATCATTACAGATTCACAACAACAATCCTTAATTTAAATTCATGTGATAGTGTGCAATATAACAATATTGCCATTTACTGTATACTCTCTCCCCAAGCAAATTTTATTTTTCAAATTATATGTCATTCTATACTACTAATAAATTATTAATGCTTTTTTTCTCTTGTATACCCTTTAATATTTATTAATTACTCTTTAATTACAATTTTAGTCTCTTATTTTACTTAATTTACGAAATTAATTTCTATTTTAAATTAGAGAATTTATTCATGAGAAAATTTATTCCCAAAATTGAAGCCCCCGCTCAAAACATTCGCTCTTTCCCTAGTCATAATTCTCACACACAAACACAAACGTAAGGGTTTCATTTGATTACAGTTTTTGGATTCATGGACGCTGATGTTGTCGAAATTCCTCCTCCAATTTTCAAACAGACTCGTAGGTTCAAAAAGCAGAAACAGGTTTCTATCTATTTATTCTCGTTTTCTTAAAAGGGTTTTGCTTGTTTAGGTTTTTTTTATTGTATCTATTCAAAGTTTTTATCTTTATTTAAGTTCTTCACCTGGGTTTTCACTTTTCAGTCTAGATAATTTTTTTATGTTAAGTTTCTGCTTTAAAAATCACTGCTTTTATTAGTTCATATTGTTACTTGTCTTACGATCATGATCACCTTTCGTTGTTGCTTCATGTGACCTTTGTTAGTACTAGACTCTGTTTAGCCCTAATGTTTATAACTTTTTGGTTCTTTGTTTAATATACTCAATACTTATTTTGCTGTTTTATGTTCTTTTGATAAAAGGGGGGTAAAATCCTCTGGATTAATTGTTTATTCATTCTGGTTGTAGTCCATTGTCCATGATGTGATTGACATTGTCGATGATAATGAGAATGACGATGATGATTTGATGATACTTGGTGAAATAACTCATAAACATAAAAAGGGGAAGGCACCTCAAGCCCTTCACGAGGGTTATGGTGATAATCATCAACTTGCGGTTCGTATAACATGTTATTTCTTGTGATAGATTGATATTATCATTTCCAACTTTACTATCGTTTTGTTCGCAATCCTTTTAAGGAGTTGTTTTATTTTACTTATTGCAGCCTGGCATGGAAAAAAGTGGAACAGTTAGTGGGATTGAGTCTTCTAATCCTTTTAGTGAATATATAGATGTAGACGAGTATGCCTTATTACAGGCACAATTTGATAATGTGGATCTACCAACTGGAATCGAGGCGCCTTTTACATTGGGAGTAGAGTCATCATCTAAGTCTCGGCGGTTTATCAAATCTGTCCGAAGTAAAGGGAAGTCTGCTTTTTTTGAATCAAAGCAGCATGGTTTGGCTGGCAATCCAGATGCGATGAAGACGCCACATTTTGGGCAATTTGAAAGTGCTAAGCAGGGAGCTGGCAGTAGCAGTTCATTCTATTCAAATTTTGTTGGACAGGAAGGATCAGTGCATCCTTTTGGAGTAGAATCAGGATACCTTTGGTCGAAGAGTCCTTATAGTTTCAGTGCCACTCCCGAGCATGTGCATGGTTCCACTAGTACTCTCAAATCTGCAAGAGATGTACATAATGGAGCAGCTGATGTTCTGCCACACGTGGCAATAATTGATAAAGCTGAAAATGAAACTCTGAGGAAACTTCGAAGTTTTAAGCAATTTGATACTGTCATTGACTCTTCGGATCATCATTTTATTAATCATAATTCCTCCACAAAGCAGGTTAGCTTCTCTTTTTTTTTTTTTTTAAGACTATGTTTCAGTCTTATTCTTAATCATATGGATTTGCATATTTACCTATTTCATGAGCAGAATCCAAAGAGTTGGGCTAAAAAAATCCAGGAAGAGTGGAAGATTTTAGAGAAGGATTTGCCGGGTGAGTTTAGTATTCCGAATACTAAATAGCCTGTAATATTTTCTATGGCTTATTGCTCAATCTGACCATTTGTTCGACTTTTTCTTTATTGCTCATTAGATACAATATTTGTGAGAGTCTACGAATCAAGGATGGATCTCATGAGGGCTGTGATTATTGGAGCAGAAGGGACTCCTTACCACAATGGTCTTTTCTTTTTTGATATTTTCTTTTCCAGTGACTATCCCAATGTACCCCCGGTATGCGGTTGAGGACACTATAACTGACTCACATTAATTTCTTTATCACTCTTTTTAATTCAATTCTGACAAAAAAAGTCATTTTTTCTCGTGGCAGAAAGTCCATTACCACTCTGGAGGTCTTAGGCTCAACCCAAATTTGTATCACTCTGGCAAAGTATGTCTCAGTCTACTCAACACCTGGCCTGGCAACCCAAAAGAGATGTGGACTAAAGGTGTTTCAACAATGCTACAAGTTCTAGTCTCCATACAAGGGCTAATCTTGAACACACAGCCTTACTTCAATGAACCTGGATATGAATCTACGAAAGGCACGACAAACGGTGAAAAGCATGCCCAGCAGTATAACGAAAATACATTCATTCTTTCGTTAAGGACAATGATGTATACGATAAGAAAGCCTCCAAAGGTTTTGTTCATTTCTTGCATATCTCTATCATGTTTGCTTTACCAAGTTCACTTGTAGCACTTACGTTTATTTTTTTCCTTGATATAAAAAGTTTTTCAGAGACGCATGATTATATATATTCCAACGCAGTCTTATGTCATAATATTATTTTCTGAATATCTTCAAATATCTACACAATGTCTGCAAAAAAAATACTGTCATTGCAAATAATTTATTTATTTTCCTTTCTCGGGATTCAGGCAACTGATTTAAATCATTTTTGGTTTTCAGAATTTTGAAGACTTAGTTGCTGGACATTTCTACAGCCGGGCGCGTGATATTCTGGCGTCATGTATAGCATACAAAAAAGGTGTTCAAGTTGGTTGTTTGGTCAAAGGTGGGGTTCAAGATGTTAATGGGAGTAAAGGAAATCAATCCTCGGCTCATTTTATATCTGGTTTAGCTGGATGCGTGCCTTCTCTTATCAAAGAGTTCGAAAATGTTGGAGTCCTTAAGTCTGGTTTAGTTGAACTTATCGAAGAGTTTGAAAATGTTGGAGTTAAGGACCGCGAGAAAATCACGTCTTGGGTACGACGCAGTACCACCAGCAAAAAGTGATTTTGCATAACTACATGAGTGTGATCATAGAACATTCTTTTTCAAAACTCAATGGCGAGACTGATGATACTAAAGGTTTTTATTACATCAACATCACGTTGGTTTTTGTTTTTCTTTTATCATCTCTTGTTTCTTGCTCTAAAAGAAAAGCAAGCAAAACTAGTTTTTATTTTTCATTTTCGTTTGTAATTACAGAAATTTGATGTTAATTTTTACTTTGTTTCGTTCTTTTTTATTACAATGTTATAAAGTCACCACTGTAAGTTAGTGTCATTGGACAACCACAAAAACGGAAAAGCATTGAAAAAGAAAGAAAAAAAATTACTAAGAGCATCTTCAATGGTGCTACTCACTCTATTTTTCACTCCAATGGTGCAATTTTAAAGAATTTATATTGGGTCTCACAATTTTATTTTGTATATTAATATTTTATTCATATTAGATTTTATTTGATTTAAAATAATAATTTAAATTATTTAAATTTAAATTAATATAAAATAAATAAAATTAAAATTAAACATAAAATTTAAAATGATAATTAAAATTAATCTCAAATACATGACATATAATTAAAAATAATAAAAATAAATTACATAACATAATTACTCAAATTTAATTTCCATCGTCCTCATGTCCAAAACGTTCCCAAATATGTTCGACTAGATCTCCTTGAAGTTGGCGATGAACTTGTTTTTCACGAAGAGTTACTCTTCTTTGTAGTCTTGTTGCAAGATTCGAATGTGGATCGTTAAATGTTTCAGTTGTTGAGTTGTTGTTACCGACATTATCGTAAGAGTAATTAAAATCACCTCCATATGTGTGTCGTTCGTCTTCGACAATCATGTTGTGCAATATGATGCAAGCATATATGGTATGTTTGAGGGTTTCCATGTGCCAAGCACGCGCTGGACCACGTATTATTGCAAAACGAGATTGAAGCACTCCAAATGCCCGTTCCACATCCTTTCTAGCTGATTCTTGGTGTTGTGCAAATAGTTTTCTCTTTTCTCCTTGTGGCATCGAAATAGTTTTGACAAATGTAGCCCACTCAGGATATATTCTATCCGCTAAATAATACCCCATATTATAAGGAGTTCCATTGATTGTATATTGCACATTAGCAGCACGTCCTTTCAAAATATCGTTAAACACATTGGATTGGTTTAACACATTAATGTCATTGTTTGAACCTGCAATACCAAAAAATGCATGCCAAATCTACAAGTCTTGTGATGCCACTGCTTCAAGCATGATCGTGGGTTTACCATGATCACCTCGACAAAACTGTCCTTTCCATGCAACAGGACAATTCTTCCATTCCTAGTGCATACAATCAATGGAACCCAACATACCTGGAAAGCCACGTGACTCACCCATTTGTAAAAGATGTTCAATATCAGTGTTGTTAGGCTTTCTCAAATACTCAGCCCCAAATACAACATTCACGCCCTTAACGAATCTTTCTAAGCACTCAATTGAGGTACTTTCATCGATTCGAACATATTCGTCTACAATGTCAGCGGGAGACCCATATGCCAATATACGAATAGTAGATGTGCATTTCTGCAATGGTGAAAGACCCATCTTACCAGTTGCATCGATCCTCATTTGAAAATATTCATCATGATTTCCGAGGGCATCTACAATTCGAAGAAACACATGCCTATGCATTCTGAACCTTCTTCGGAATTATACATCTGTGTATACTGGATTTTCTGAGAAGTAGTCATTGAATAACCGATTGTGCCCTTCTTCACGACCTCGATCTACCGTAGTTCTTCTCTTTGGCCTAGAGAAACTTCCAAATTGACATTCATTTTGAAGATGTTGTTCTTCATCACTGTCGTCCATAAATTCTTCTTCAACTAACTCCCAAAATTCTTGATCGTAATTATCTGAATTGTCTGAATCCATTTTAGTGAGGAATAAGAATAGAATGAGAAAACAATGACATAAGTGGTAGTATATATAATGGTTTGAATAAAGGCTAGTTATTCATAACGGCTAGTTATTCATAACGGCTAGTTTGAATAACGGCTAGTTTGAACAACATAATATTTATTATGATTTAAAGTGGTACTAATGACCATTTTACATAGGATTTGATAAATTAAAGTGGTACTAATGACCATTTTACATATAATTTAAAGTGGTACTAACTACAGTCCATATTTTTTTTCATTTTATTACAATATTTTTTATGAATATCTCATTGACTTTTGTTTATAGTAGAAGTGTCTTTCATCATGATTTGCATTACCTTTAATTCTATCTCGTCCTCCTTACTTTGCGCAAGTCTTTCCATTATTTCTGCTCTTTTATTCTTTGCATCTTGCGTTGCATTTGAAATTTCCTTTGCCTTACCCTTCCTTTTTGCTGCTTTTTGTCCCATTGGACGCTCCATTGGTGATGATGAGTTAAACTCATAACTTGAAGGTTGTAGCGGTGAAAATCGGAGATCAAGCTATTAATTAACTTGACTTGCAAAAGCAAGAGTCGCCACCGCGCTTTATTATTTCCAAGGGAAAAGGGAAAAGAGCGAAATAAAACCCTAAAGTATGCAATGTAAATTAATATTTAAAAATAATGAAAATACAATGCGTTTTTAAAAGAGATCGAGAGTTCGGGGGTTGGTTATACAATGGGAAGGTGCTAGCACCCAATGCATCTGCGGTACTCCGCAGGAACCTTTTGAAATATCTGTTTTTTGGTTAAAAATTGTTTGTTTGATTAAAATGGTTCGTTTGGCTAAAAAATGGGTATGGACGAGATTTTGAAGATGCGACGACCTAGTGTCGAAGTTTTGACTTAAAAGGTGTGAGTTTGAAAATGGAGTCTTTTGGGAAAATTATCTTGAGTTTAGCAAAATAGTAAACAAACAAAAAAATGAAAAAAAAGGTATTCGCATGATCGGATGAGATGTATTTGATGACGTGAAGTCAACAAATTTAAATCTTTCCCTTGGAGTTAAAACCACAGACGAATAAATAAGCTAAGAGTATATCAAACCTTATGTGAAAATAAATCACAAGCCGACAGCATCATCAAAAAAACTTAATGTGAGATAATACTCCAAGCATCAGATAAAGCGCAAAGGCGGTGGATAAAGCTCACGGTGTCAGATAAGAATCCCTGCATCACAAGAAATATACCGACGAAATCTAACAGCATGGGAAACTTATGTGCGTCCGCACAATTTTCAGAAGTTAGTTGGAATTAAAAATAAAATCACAATGCGATGAAAATAATATTTTCAAAACCTGAATTTATTTACAAGTAAAATATACAGTCGAAATATTATGTACAAGTATATATTTACAGTACCAAATATTAAATCAGAATAGTAAAATAAAATAAAAAGGTAAAAGGGAGAAGTGTAAGAGTTATTGATGCTATGTGAGAATGGATACTTGAAACGATTTTCGAAAATCTTCACAGTAAGCAAACTCGTTAGTAGCATAAGCGGTATAAAAATTAAAATGAATGAAATCGCAACAATTAAAAACTTTGTTAGAAATCACAAAATAAAGAAATGAAATGAAATTGTATGAATGCACATGAATATTTACACAAATAAAATCAAGAATTCATGACATTATTCCATGTAAACACAAAAAATCAACATTGTGCACATTATTTCAAATGTATCAAAAGCAACCGCTATTTCAAGCACAACGGAAAACAAATACCCAAAGCTCACTTTGCAACATGAGAAATTGAATTCAAAACATGAACCAAATAAATGATGATTACTCAAAGTACCCAACAAAAATCAACATGGCATTCAATGTTCTAAACACATTTAAACTCAAGTAAACACAATGTTGAACATAGTCATCAATTCATTTGAGATTCACATTGCAATTTACATCTTATATACAAGAAGTTAGAAATGATTCATATGCATACACATTATGTACAATAGAACCACTTTGATAAACTAAAAATTAATATAAACTAATTGAATAATAAATTAAATATTTAAAATTTTAGAGACTTATCTATGAGAGAATAAATTAACTAGACTATAAATAATAAAATAAAAATTAATTTAGAAAGGAAGATAAGAAAAAAACAAACAAAATCAAACCACCCCATTTTCTTTAATAGTAAAACTAAAATACAATTGAACATCTCGTGACTTTTCAAAATCATATGAAAACAAATAATCCATGAAAAGTAGTATATGGTAAAGCATGAAAAATGTTATGAATATAAACCAGTAGAAAACATATTAACAGACCAAATCCAAAGAAAACTTCTTCATTCTTCTTTCAAAATTTTATCGGCTTCTATATTTTACAATCATCAATCCAGCTCATAATTTGTGTCGATTTATGAGAAGATATTTGAATTCACATATTGAAAAAATAACATACTAAAAACATTTCAAGCTTCTCATAAATTTAACATCTAAAATATGTTATCAACACAAATTCATTATCAATTAATTTCACATTGAGCATAATGACATCAACACTATCTAGCATAGTCATCTCCGCAGACAAAGGCAAAATCAAAATCATTTAACTTGAACAAACACAATTAGCAAAGAGATCGAAACATACCGAAAAGCCGAAACTAGAAATTGATGGTGCTGGAAATCGCGGAATAGATAAGATGGTAATGCCATTCCATTATGTGCTTCTAAAGAACTTGAAGAAAATTTTCCTTTCCTTGGCCACAACCAAATCTTCGAAATTGAAAAACTTTCGCCTTTACTAACATTACTAATCTTCTTTCCTTCCAAATCACTTTTCCACACACAGATACTCACCATTTTCAATTCCTTTGTTCATCGTTCTATCTTGATGAATTTTACTTTCATGGTTTAATGCATCTAAAGTTACCACATTTTGCATACATATCCACCAAAGCAGACAAAACATACAACTGCAATCCAAATCCCAGCTTGAAGGCAAGACCATGCATCTGTTTCCCTTCCACAACAGCACAAAGGTCACTACAAGCATTAACCACCCCAACTAAAGTAAACTCAG